AATCAGGAAAGCTCTCCTGCACTGGGCCCGGCCACGTGTCTTGGCTCACCGGTCCCCCCACGTCCCTTGAAGAGGCAGATGCTGTTCCCGCCACCTCTGTGTTGGGGATGAGGATACCCAAGCCCAGACAAGGTAGACGCTGGCCCACGCTGCACAGCAGAGGGACTTGAGGGCAGGTGGCCGGATGGGTGGTCTCCCCTAGTGTCCTCCTGGTGGCCTCAGGCCTCGGGGAGATCCAGGGAACAGAATTCAGCCTTAAGGCCTCCAGGGCTGGGAGAGGTCGAGCTGAGCCCCAGGTGACCTTTCCAGGTGACGTTCACTGCCGGGCTTGCTCAGCACGTCTGTCCGTGTGGAGCCAGGCAGGTGGTGGCAGTGCAGAGGGCTGGGAGCCTCCAGACTGGGGAGGGACAGGCAGATGCGAGGGAGGGGCCAGATTGCCACCCAGGGTGAGGAGGCTGGGGAGGGAGGCTGGGGAGGCCTTTCACCTTGTGGGGAGCTTGGGGACTTCCTCCAGGAGTGACCGCTGACCCCAGGCCAGATGGTGGGGGCTGTGGACCCACACGGGAGGGGAAGGGGCACCTCAGGTGGGGACACAGCACTCCGGATGGAGAGGCCCTGAGCCCAGGGTGAGGCCCGGTGGGGAGTGGGCTGGGGCATGGTGAAGGGCGGGGCCTGTGGAGGCCTCTGGGGGTCCCTGGCCGCCCCCAGCTGGCAGGAAGCCGTGCGCTGCTGCAGCCCGGAGCCGGGGTTCTGTGGCTGGCTGGGGCCAGGGCCAGGCTGGCGGGGGCAGTCGGGAGGCCTTCCAGGGTCACTGAGAGGGCCCCACTGGGGCTCCGAGTCCTCCTGGCCTTTCCCAGAGCCAACAAGCCGCCGCCGGGGGGCGGGCTCAGGAGTGGCCGGCGGAGGGTGGGAGGCCTGGGCCCTCCCTGGACCCTCCTTTCCTCCCCACCCTGCCTCCCGGCCTCCCTCCCGGCCTCCCAGCTTCATTCACGGTCTCCACGCCTCCCGAGAAGGCCCCGGTGGCTGCCAAGCCGCGGCTGGCCCCGGGCCAGCTTGCTTCCCGCGCCCTTTCTTCATGGCGGCAGAGTGCTAATTCCCGGCCCAGAGAGGTGGCCGCGACTGCGCCAAGAGAGACTGTTTACAGCCCCGGGCGGTTCCTGGCCGACGCAGGCCGCCTCGCGGGGACTTGTCTGCTCTCCAGGCTGCTGCGGCTGGCCGGCTCCGGCAGGGCCGCGGAGGGTTCTGGGGACGGGGACGGACCGGCGCTCGGCTGTCCTGTGGTGTCCACCTCTGCCCTGGGCAAGGGCCCTCCGCCTGGCCCCAGTCACGCAGTCACACAGCTGTGCCCGCCACACGAGGGCCATGCCCAGGCCAGGTCCCGCTGGAGGTGGCCCTTGGCTGGGGGCCATCGTCCCTGCCCCCTGCAGCAGCCAGGGAAAGGGGCCCTGGTGACCCCTGGTGAGCCTCCGCTCCAGCCTCCACCTGCTCAGTGGGGAGGAGAGCACGTCCCCGTCCTGCTGGCCTCACCCCCAACGTGGAGTGGCTCATGTCCTCCAGGGTCACCGCGGGCCAGCATGGTCCCCGTAGGGTGGTGTCTGTGGGGGAAGGTCCCGGGAAGGCAGGGCCTGGACCCCTCACGTGTGGGTTCAGCCGTGGAGGACGGGACTGTGGGGCAGTGGGTGAGGGGCTGGGCTCACCAACCTGGTCCTTTGGTTCCTGGGGTGGCCCTCAGGGTCACCTGTCCAGGCCAGGACGACCCCACGGAGGGGCCGCTGGGGCGTGGACGTTCAGCGGCCAGCTGGGTTGGCAGTGCAGAAGCTCTGGGGCCTGGTCCTTGCCCTTGTCCTCCACTGGCCTGGTGGCTCTTCCCGCCTGGGGGTCCCTTGTCTGACCTGTGCCGTGGCCCCAGGCTCCAGCCCCGGTCCTTCCTGGGCCCTGGTGGGTGAGTCCCCAGGCGTCCCCCTGTGCTGTCCTTCGTCCGGGGCTCGCTGGGCTGGCGGGCTGGGCCTGGCCGCGCCCCTGGCCGCGGGTCTGGGAGCCCAGCGCGTGGCCCCGAGGCTACCTGGGCTTCTCTGAATCCCTTTGTGTCCTCGTCCCCACGCCCTGGCCCTTCGGTGATCCCAGGGAGGCTGGGTGCCTGTAGCCTGAGGGGCAAAGCCGGGAAGGGCCGGCTGTGGACACGGCGCGGAGAGCGCAGGGCGTCGGGCGGTGGCGGGCCTGCCCGCGGTCTCACGCCTCTTGGTTTCCTTATGGCCCTTGGAGAAGCCGCGTGGAGGCCGCCCTCAGCTCAGCCAGTGACGGGGCCCGCGGGGGCGGTGGGTGGGGATGGGGCGGGCCTGGGCTCACCTGTGCTGACCCTGCTGTGGGCTCGGCCCCGGCTGCACCCGCTGGTGGGCACACGGCTCCCTGGGACGTCA